GTTTACTAAATTCGGCACTACAATTATTGAACACGATAGATCAACCAACAATTACATATTTTCTATATTTGGGATTAGATTGTTAGCAGATATTTTGGTTATACGGGGTATGGTAATAATTTTACATGCTATATATCCCCCAAGCCCGATTTACAAATTTAGAATAAGCGCTATGCACTTCTTTATTTATGCTATTATGTTGATCAAACATCTAGTATCACATTTTTTTACCGTTGATAGCCATCAAAAATAACCTTACAGCCATTGGTGATATTGATCCATGCTAGAAAAAATAAATACGTATTATTTAACGGTCCCGCGAGTCCACTTTTATTTTGGCCTAGGTCGAAGCTAAAATAGCAATAAAAACTTGACTGGCTTTAATAATCAATGGTCTGCATTAAACTTTATGCAGTGTTACTTTAATTTCTCACAGTCGATTTTTAATAACGAATATCTAGAAAGCCTTTTCTTATTATATATGATACTGCGATAAGAAAAAGCGCGGAACTCTGTGAAGCAGGTGATGCTTTGCATCCTAAAAGGGCTATAATAGGGAAGAGTACAACTTTCTTTATCAGTAGTTTTATGGGTCATAGACCCCAGGCTTTGCCTGTCGAAATTCATATATTACTAGGACTTGGAATCTCCGCCATTCCCAGATCGTCAACTTTTTTCACTTCGTAGTAGTGATCATCAAATCTAAGGGGGTTTAATTTCACCTAAAAAATGACAAAATGGATTCAGTATTTGGAACTTATAGCCGAACGGGGTTGCTTTACGTGGCTGGATCTGGTATTGTGTTAGGGTAACGCAATTACTAATCATGTAACTTTTTTTTTCTGGCAGGTTTTTTAGATCTATCGAATGTGAAGTATAAAAATAAGCAGTTTGCCCATAAGGTAAGTTAGCAATAACATTGCTCTCATATATATTTTTTGCCGTATCGGCTTCTCTGAAAAATTTTTCATATTCGCAATTTACTTCCAAGGTTCGGTTATTATATATTGTTTATACGAGATTTTTTATTCCTAAAGTTAATTTCTACTTACTATGGATTCTTTATATATTTCTTGCAGAGTCCCCCAAAATGACAATTATTAACCTTAACTGTGTCGTCAGTGAAAAAAACCCTGAAAATGAAACTTTTACAATTGAGATTTCTGATGATAAAAAGTATGAATTGCTCAAACATATGGTAAAAAAACGCTTGGCACCTTTATTTGATTCCATCCCTTCTACTCAAATCACCCTTCGTTCATCTGCCGGTTGTAATATTTTTAAACCAATGATTAGAATTTCTGAAGACTTTACTACTAGCCCCGATGAAAATAGCATTCATATTTACATAGACCCCCAAGAAATTAAATAGTAAAAAAATTTTTTATTTGTATTCGCACCTGTAACAGCGATATATATATTATTTGTATATTGTCGTTCCGGCAACAATTTTTATGAAATAAAGAGAGGGGTTTCGTGCCCCACCATTTTTTATTTTTATGCGATTTTTTACGATTATTAATTAGTGGAAATAATGAATTTTTCTTATTAACTTATGCTTTTACAGTCACTATTTGAATTGAATTCTGATATTTATTCTCCCAACATGTAAGACGATATGTTCTTGTATTGACATAATCGCCACTCCCCCACTCACCTTTTACATCATCTCTTTTATGCTCTTTATTACATACGAGACAGGTTTTTGGACAATTAAAATAGTCACCGTACTCATTACTATATTTCAAAGTTAAATAAGGAAACTGCTCTAGCACTTTGTTAATAATGGATTTTTGCTTCTCTTGTGAATCATCAGGTAAAATAGAGATTGGAGGTTGGGGTTTATTAGATATATTTTCTTTGGATATAGGTGGTGTACTTACCTCAGATGAATTAGCAGAAATAGATGAGTCAGAGACTCGAGACTTTGTTTCTTCAGTAGATGCATTTACCTTAGCTTCTGGTAATTCCGAGAAAGCAGAGCTTCGAGTCTTTGACTTATCTTGATCATTTTCTTGAGATGGTTCAGTCACGTGCGCATGACAATTTGTCACGCTTATCATATCTGTTGAAGACTTGGGAAAATCATTTATAAGGTTTTGAATTTGAATATCCTTTAGACTTGAAATAGCACTTGCACTGTAAGTTATTTGATTAATTTTATCAATTCCTACTCTTTCATAGAATATATACTTTTTTCGCTCTAGAAGTTATTTTATGCAAGTTTATATCAGTAACATCAGGAAGGAGCGATTTGATTTCATTATATACTATCGTTCTTGCCGATTGGTCATCAGTATTATTCACAGATTTAACATTACTAACTCGATTTTTATACGCTTTATAATAGCAATACCAGCACAAACTTTCCTTCTGTCGAACCTTCATTGCTACCCTAAATAGATCAACTATATTTTGCGATATAACCTTACCAGATCCCGTTAAAATCTATTCTAAAGCAAATTCGGGAATCTAAATATCAAATACTTTATTAATATTATGGTTATTATCTTTGGTGCAAATAAATAGCTCGAGTCTTAAACCTCGTTCTACTTTTTGATTATAAGGAATTTTCTGATTAAGCAATAGGTTAGTAGGGGAAGCAGAGCTTCGAGTCTTTGACTCATCTTGATCGTTCACGGTTTTTAAGTCATGTGATAATTGGGCAACATTGACTTTTTCTGATTCTACTGAAGGTAAGCTTTGGTTCTGAAGCTTCTTTTCCCTATTTTTCTCTCTTATCATATTACTAACCCTTTCCTTTTCTTTTTGATCTAGAAACTCATCGATCGTTTTATCTTCTAAAGATATGGGAGTATTATAAAAATTTACTGTAGACAAATCAGAGATAAGCTGTAAACTCAAGAATTCGTCTCTTCCCTCTGCCTGTTGTGAAACATTAGTAACAATTTTTTCTTTATTTCTTTGTTCTAAATTCGTGATTCTGATTTCATGTTCTTTTAAAGTTTGTTTTAACTTCGCATTATCAGCTTTAACTTTCATATTCTCAGCTTTAAGTTCTATATTCTCGGTTTCAATTTCAGTACATTTCTTTTTAAGTTCAAGTATTTCTGCGTTCTCCTTCCTAAGTTTATCAATCTCGGCTACAAGCTTATAATTCAATTCTCTCAACAAGTCATCTTTAGATTGTATGTTTGCCATTTTTAATATAAAATACGGATATATTCAATTCTTTTATCATGGAGATGTATATTTTCATCGAAACATAATCAGAGATACATGCTACGTAAACACAAAAAATAAATAAATCCAAAACACATGACTGCGTAAAAAAATTCTCGATCATATATACATCAATAACAATACAATAAAATAAATTCACGAAATACACATGCAAAAGTAAACGTGATTATGTATGCGAAATCGGCCACCAGGGCCAGCTTTATTGATATGAGAATAAAAATGAAATACAATATAATTCTAAAAAATATATTCTATTGCTCTATATAAAATGGACTTAGTTTTCATCATCACTAGTTACATTGGAACTTTCTTGAGGACTTGATTTTTAATGAATGATGCAATAAAGATAGATTGACAATCAAGATGTTTCGTAGAAGTAAAAGTGCTTCTACAAAACGTAATACATCATTACCATTACATGGCCTTACCGGAATTTTAACAGAACATAAATGATAAAGCCGATGGATGTCATCTTTATCTCTAATGAGAACATTTAAACGCATTTCATCCCCCGCAATTTGTATACCGATGATCCCAAATTCATCTTTATCGGGCTTACATGTTTTGTGGACATAATACATTCCGTCGTTCATTTCTCGCCATAATTTTACTTCATCCTCTTTTTTCTTATTATCATTACAAATCAGGCGAGAACATTCAGCGAATAGAAGTTCATGTAGCTTTTCATGATGCTTTTCTATAAGCATAATATCAGGACGTTTACCCTGTTTTCCATCAATTGCTCTTCTATCAGCACTGGCTAAGCTTTGTCTTTCAGCCCTGAAATAAAAAAAATATAAATTAGTTGCTTGTTTATTTTAATAAATAAAATTTTTTTCAAACTTACGTGCTGAGAAAAGCATGTTTCTTGATCGGAAGCTTTTTTAGTGCACTTCGAATAAGGGGCATTATTACATCTGTTATGTATGTACCTTCACTTTGACCTTCTGCGAACTCTGCATCGAAGGCAGGATTTCGCCAAATATTATCTAAGGAATAGAGAATTTCTTCAGTAATATCTGATAACACCTCCTCTCTTTCCTTCCATGTACTATTATGAGAAAACTTCGGTGGTAAAGCTTCTACGTTATCATTATGAAAATTTTCAGCAAAATTATTACACATATTTTCTATATTGGAAGGTTTTTGAACTTGCATTCGCTGTTTGAGTTACATAAAAGACTGTTTGGGCCCCCAGTTTAATTTTTTAACTAAGACAGATTCATCACTGATTACTTTACTAGCCAGTGGATTCTCCCATGTTAAATCTGATTCGGGTAAGTTGTTCAGCTCTATTTGTAATTCTTCAGCAAATGGAGAAGAACATGCCTTAAAATTATTAAAAATATCGGGTATTAGCAAAGCATGCGTTTACCACAAAATGAAAGTAGTAATTTATACATTTCTATATTTACCCCAAGTTGTCTTTTTAAATCAGCTATATTACGACTGATTTCTCGGTCAGTAAGGGAAGTTCTTTCTATTCTTATTTTATAAACACTACGAATACCTTCGAAGGCATCGTCGAACTGGCGTAAAAACAGATATATATTAGATTTTTCAATACTCATAAATATACTTTCTATCACAAGCTTGTGTCATCAGAGTAATATATAATGGGGTTGCAATTTCTCTGTGGCCTACAGATCCATGCCTCCTCATTTTTCTGCATATGAATTTAAAATTTGTAAGACTAAAGCCAGAGTGTCCTCATGCGTCCGCAGGCGTTGAAGTCCCGGTACTAACAGACTAATGGACACCCAGGATTACCACTATTTCTTATAGAGTTGAATCTATAATAATAGGTTAGCAGGCTTTCCCCTTGACTAAAGCCTTCACAAATTCGAAAATCCAATATTGGAAAGGCGCCATTCATCAGATGATACATTTTGGAAGACATATCTGATAAAATTACTAACCTGTGTTTGGATTTTCTGAAGCCTATTTAATGCATTCAAATTTCCTGAGTACATATCTTTTGTTTCAGAAACAGCACTGTTTATTATCTTTCTCAAATGCTCTTGTTGAATCAATGGTTCATCTTCCATTACTTCATTAAGAACTGAATAGGGTGTGATACAATCTATCGGAGATGTGGTGAGGAAATTAAGAACTTTTTTAAAATTTGGGTTAGACATGTTTTGGAAATATGAACAGTATATATCGATATGTATATTAAGATCAAGAAAATAAAAATCACTAAGAAATACTGCCCTTTTATATGTTTTTCTTTCACCTCTTCTCTGAAACCCGAAAGGTTAGAAAAGTTAGATAGAAGAAAATACATGCGCTCTTACATCAAAAAATTTCTACGATAGAAGTTGAGACATAATTTTCATGTAGAGAACGATGATGCAAAAGAATTCTATAAATTATGTAGGTGTATGCATCACGAGTTATAGAGCCATGTAGGGTTAAAATCGTTATTAAGGGACACGATACTCCATAGTACATGCATACATTGTGCCTAAAATAAATTCAGAACATATGTGGCATGAGTTAATTGACCGACTTCGGTTAGTGGCTAATTCTGATAAATTTCAATTTCTAATTATGCCCCGTCTCACAAATTAGTTATGCATAACGATAAGCTAGTAGGGTGATACAGATAAATTCTTACGTACCCGGAACTATTCTAACACATGTTAAATGAATATCTTTGTTATGTGAGCGAATTATGGAAAATTATGTATCGATTCTGATTTATTTTTACTAAACGTTAATTATCCGAGAATTATCGTTATTACATTCACA